AGAGAGAGAGAGAGAGAGAAAATCTTATGTCATATATATATATTTCTTGTTATACACGCATTTAAATAGAAATAAATAAAATCGTATGCAAATAAAACAAGAATCACTGCCATTATTTAGGCCGAGATAAATAAAGATCGATTAAAATTGCAATTTACGTACGTGAACATCAGTGATATGAAACGGCTGAGTCCTTCGAGTTAGTCGACGAGCGTAGAAGTCAATCTAAATTAGAGGAGAGAAATAATGAAGGGAAATGGCCAAGAGCCGTTTTCTAACTCACGCGGTTATCGCTGGAATGTTAAAAGGTCCAACTCCTCGTCAACTCGAATTTATTCGAATTAAAAGCTTGCAGGGCCGCACGCGATGATGCGAAAACGATATTCATTCTTCACTCTCACCCGCCGCGCTTTTACCGCGAAATATAATACGACTTGATCGCCATCTACAATCTGTAACATAAACGTTCGAAGACACTTCGATAAAACAGTTTCATTTATTGACTGAGTGAAGAAAAAAGCGCAAGTGATATTATCGGTATTCTTGTTGCAGCGTCAATTAGTCCTCTATTTCACAAGTCTCGTAGCGCGATAAAAATTGTTTAGACAAATGATTTTGTTGAAGCAGTAAGCGGAGTATTATTTAACAAAAAAAAATCATTGTAAGTGTTTTCGTAATTTGATTCGTTTGTTAATTTCGTTTTAATCAGGTGAAATGAATGAAACTAATGAGTTGCCACCGGGAACAGCATCGTTACTTGAAGAACTTGAAAGTACGTATCGGTCTGTTTTATGTGATTGATTACACTCACGTGCCGGTTCTTACTATGTATTACGATATTTCGCACTTCCGTCACTTGGAAGACACTTGGACTTCCGTCATAGCTTGCAATGAATGTGTTGTGGAGTAACAAATTAATTTTTATTACATTAATAAATATAATAATATATTTATTATCATTAATTAATTGCATTAATAATTATATTCTTCAACAAAATAAAATTTGTTAAATTATGAATACAAAATGTGTATAAATTATTGATGTAACAAAGTCATGATATGTCTGAAATTTAAAGAATTTATATTCTTATTTCTAAATGTATATCAACGTTTCATTACATACGTGATATTTACTTCTTGTTTAGAAAAACTTATGGTTTTATTGAGAGATGGCAGAACGTTAATTGGCTATCTTAAAAGTGTCGATCAATTTGCTAATATAGTACTTCAAAGTACCATTGAAAGAATTCATGTTGGTCAAGAGTATGGTGACATTCCGAGAGGTATTTTCATAGTAAGAGGGGAGAATGTTGTGCTTTTAGGAGAAATAGTAAGCGTTTCACAAACAGAAAGATCTTTATTATATTTCTGTTAATAAACACTAATAATCCTGTGCAATGTTCAATTAACGAATATATCCATATTACAGGATATAGAGAAGGAAAAAGTGTTGCCGTTGAAAAAGGTGACAGTGGATGAAATTTTGGATGCTCAGAGACGCGAACAAGAATCTAAGCAGGAGCAGAAAAAGCGAATAAACAAAGCTCTGAAAGAACGAGGTTTTGCGTATATACCAGATTTAAGTCATGATGATATGTACTGATGCACAAATGTACATATTTTTTTTGTATCAAAAAAATTTATCTAATTAATTTACGATAATTAAATATAACTATTACACGAAATTTACAATAGCACAGTTACTTCCCAACTAATGTAATGTTGTTTATAAAGTCGTAATATCTCTGAAAAACTAACAGTATCTTGTATTTTAAGAACAAAAAAGATAATGCATATCAGTTAGATTTATATGAGTTTATATAAATAGCACATAATATAGATTAATTATGAATAATGTTAAAATATTCAAATTTTCATATAAGATCATAATTAAATACTATATTATGTGAGTTTCTTATATAGTTTATTTTACTTATAAATACTTATTCTAAACTTTACATTGCATAAATTATTTATTTAAGATACATAAAGGTAATAATTACACTTGATATCAAAGCGTATCATTATGTATTGTGCAATTTGATAATTACAAAATGAATTAGAAAAATACTTTGTTGCATTTTATAGCAATACACAGCTTTTATAAATGTCTTTATTAATATTGTTGCAAAAGAAAAATGAGATTCTTTTAAATATCTTGTATCGTATGCACAGTTAATAACGATTTAATTTCTACGTAAATGGAATAAATGATCCAGTTATTGTTGGATAATAAATTTACATTTGAGACAAAATTATATATAGGATACTCCACGCAATTAAGCGGAACTGTAATTTGAAAACGGAGATAGCAAAATATTATAAGATAAAATAAAATGATTTTGGATGCTTCACATTCCTGTTACTTTCATGCATTTTTGTATGTTACAAAATGCAGTCGCATTTTTTTTTAAATAAAATTTAATATTCTTGAATGTATTAATCAATGCAATTTTTCCTTCTCTACAAAAAACTATTATAAAGTTATG